AGAGGAAGAAGGAGAAGGAGTCAAAGGACGCTTTGCGTATACTAGGAGACATAGGGGCGAGGAGGGAATCGAGTTAGTCAATTATTTTGTCAGGCTATTGTTTTTTCTGTAAGCGCTACAGTAAACTTTTGTTTTCTGTAAGGTTTAACTAGGACTGTGCACTTATATTGCTTGTTATTATGCATGCGGAAACCGTGGGTGGGTCAAGCTATAACTCTGGCGGTTTTCTGTGATAATTGACGGGGTAGCGCTGCGCGTATTTCAACCACCACTTTTTTGGTCCCCTAACAATTGCCTTTTTCGATCATAGGAAAGGACTGTCTTTCTAATATGTGGTCACCATTTCCTTATCCCCCTCTTTCAGGCAACACCTCGGTTGGCCTCTTCACTACCTCTCATGGCTCCTAAAACCTTATCTCGCTACTTACTCCCATTATTAGTAATTCCTTTAAGTAAATAAAATTATCCCACCCATTCACACAGAGAACTTATAAACGTGATGCTTTTCTGAGTCTCTCTTTTGCCTACACTGACAGGAGCACTTTTAAGATTGGGTTTAAATCAATTGGGATATGATTATTTTAACTTCCTTACGTTGGTAGTCTTCTAAAGACTACTAGTCATGTGAAGTTAAACTGCTGAAAAGAATTAGTTTTTGAAGAGTCGAGACATTCACTACTTTGACGACTAGTTTTGACAGCAGTAATTAAGAAATTAAAAAAGAAATACCGGCCAGAACCAAGGGGTTATTAGCATCCGTGCTTATTTTAATTGCGGAAAAAGAAGTTATTTCAAATAAGTGTTAGGTACCTGAAATATCTTGACCCGTTTTAGTGTGTCGTAATGAACATGAATGGCTATCTCGGCTTTCAATTTGTCCGGCAGTATACCGAGCACGTTCTCCTCCTCCAATGATTGTTTATTCGACCACAGGTAGTCAAACCATTGAATGACGCGCTGCTCCAAATCTTTGCTCACTTTGCGATACTCCATGTATCTAGTTCATCAGGGAAACGTGTTTTAACTCGACAAACAAATGTAAAACGGAAATCAATGACTACTGTGCACTTGTTTTTATCAAACAGCCTTACTGCGCATTATTTCTGAAGCCTGGGATAGTGAAAGTCTGTTTTACATGGAACGGTCTAAATCGTCCTATCATATAGAACAAACGCATTCTGCAGTTCATTACATTGCATTAATTTCAATAGAAGTATTGAGAAATATAAACATGCACGGAAGATATGTCAAAAAGTGATTTCTCCATTTACCCATTTGTGGCTTAAAAGGAGATAACATGAAGGTCCACGACTTTTAATATATTACTTAAGGGTATCCCCTCAGATGAATCGCGCATGAACAGACAAAACGATCAGCAGGTTATACGACGAAGTTCAAGAATTAAAGAAATGTGGCGTCAAACACAATAAACGCATTATTATTCAGTCTTGTTAACGACTAAGCGTTTTTTCACACTGGTTCTATCCAGTTTACGGGCCGAGAACTCAAGCCCCCGATTTATTTTTTATTGTTATTGATTTGGCCCAGTTCTATGCGATTTTTTTTACTTAAAGTAATGAGTATAAAAGTCTTATTTAGCTTAGAAAATGATATTAAATTTTGTCTCGCATTTTTACCTCGTGAGTCACAGCAGCTAGCTTGGACATGAACAGCGCATGCTACCGTCACAGCTCTAGATGGAAAAAGGAGACCTACCGTTTTACAGAATCCATTTGTGACTGAAATTCCGTTTTGGCTGCGTTCATGTTGGCAATCATAGCGCCTACATTACCCACAACAGTGGCAAAAATCAGAACACCAGCCAGAAAGTCGATCGTGATAAAAATGTATTCACCATCTCGAACAGGCTTTGGCGTTTCACCGATGGTTGTGAGGATGAGAGTGGACCAATAAAAGCTGTAGGAATACTCCGAGAAAATATTGTTCCAACGTTCTGTCAAATTACACGGCTCGTCGGTGATGTCATCGTTATCTCGTGGAGGGTAGACAAAAGAGTTCTGGCATAATCCTAAACGAAATAGGATTATACAGTTAATAGGAATACTGCAGTCCTCTTACCTTAAACAAGACGAATTGCACGTCAAATCAAATGGTTCCTGAACAACGTACTATATGCTTTATTTGAAACGCCAAACCAAGCAACAATGTACCAACCATTTAAGCCTCGTCTGTACTTTGGAGTGACCATCGGAAAACCTGGTGCGCGCGTCTTACACATGCCAGTTTTAGAATATTTCAAAGTTAGATTTTGTTATAAAAAACGTTATTTTGACTAAGCCTTTGATAAAGGCTCCCAAAGACATGACAAAATAATTTTACTCAGGTGTAAGTCCTTATTGGATCCGTACATCATTTCGGTGCAGTGAATCACAAAACCGTGTAATGTGATATACTGACGTTATGTAAAAACTTCCCATTCCGTTACGAACCAAACTTAATTCTTCCCCAATTATCTAAAATTGCCGTCTGACTAGAAGTGGTTTTCATAGAGATAACTCGACTAGTAAACTTGTGCGTAGCCTCCTGATGTAGGTTAGAAACGGCAAACTGACCCATACTTCCTGGTAGCTGTACTGTCTATGTGTTCTTCTAGTCAATCAAATTGTATTTTCAGGAGTAATCGGCCCGATCGATGGTTGGCTACCAGAATTTTCGTCATCTTTTCCAATTACAGTCCACAAGAAGACAATGTTCTTAGCCCTGTGGGGCTGGATCAGATTTCATCGCTGGCAAAAGTGTGTGAGGATGCTATAGTCTGCACGTCACTCCTGCAGGCACTTTGCGAAGGGCTAGTCGTTGTAGTTTAGTCTCTTTCTACTTAACCGAATGTTCCGCACTTAAATTATATCCACCTCTTCCACTTCCACCGTAAGCCTAACTTATTTCTTTCGGTTCAGTCTTCTTGAGGGGAAGATAGGCAAAATTGTCAAATCCCTTACTGCCACAAAGTGTTTAAGAAAAATCAACGAAAAATAAGGCAAATCAAAAAGGAATTTGTTTATACAGGCGAAAAGCAGGCAGCCGTCGGCTAGTCGAAAAGACGTAAAACGTAAACGCCTACTCACTTTTTGCGCGTAGTGTAATTGTATGAAACCGCAGTAACCACTAATCTGGGTGTGGGTGTGGCTGTTGGGGGAGAAGTTTGATGCGTGTCACGTTTGCTCTACCATGAATCCCCACAGATGGAGGGAATAGCCTTCATGCGAAAAGCGTTCCACGCTTCGAGCCCCCGGCTCTAGGAGAAAAACTTGCTTGATATGTGCGTAGTTTTGGGAGCCGACCCCGCAAAATGGGCATATCAAACCGAGCGAAAAAAGTCGGCGGGTAAAAATCCATAGTCCAGGCTAATTATAGTGCAGAAAGCTTTTATGCAATCCCTTCGTAGTTACCTGTGGGAAAGGGAACTAGGCTAACGGTAGAACATCTGCTTTCCTAGGGCAGGGTTCCCAGATTTTTGGTCATATTTTGCCGCACGCCTCTGAAGCTTTCCCAAGCCGAAACAGCCTTTGACCGTCCAAGCACTCAGTGCATCTATAGCGGCCGCAGAAATCTTCCAATATTTAGTAGGAGCTGTCTGCAGCAGTACTTTATGTAGTGCACCTCATTAATCTCTAGTCCCAACATTTTTTCCTGCGAAAACGGTGGTTATAGGGTTTCATGGCTGGGGAATTAGGCTACGCAGTGGAATATACTTTAGTAACTTCTATATGCATTTTTATTTTATTGTATTCAGAAATGTTGTTGATTTATATCTGTAGATTTTCCTAATCTGTATTATCGTTTAACATATTGCGGAAAAACCCGATTATCAAATTGCAGGTTTCTTGAAATTCCTGAAAAATAGAAATCGTAGTCGTCTACCTCAACTTACCTGAGGTCAAACTTACCCTTCTGGAATTAGATTGGTATAGTCCCTTCAATTTACATGCGGATTAACTTACTCCCAGCGGCCGCGGGAAACAAATTCGACTAAAATTTTTCACTGTACACTTAGTTCTAACAATTTCCTTCCCTGCCTATCCTATTTTCTGAATCCAAAAACTCTATAACCACCGTTTCCGTAGGACAACATGCTGAAACTATGGATATATGTTGTTCACTACATAAACTAGTTTTGCAGAGCTGTCTTTATATAACCTCATAAAGGTTCGCCTGATATACTGCAATAGAGCCGTGGCGAACTTAGCCATCTTCGTGCTGTGCAGTGTTAGCTTGAGTGGAAATGAACTCCACACACCCATGTCTTTCTCATTCTCAGCTTGTCGCAATGGTGTGTCCTTTGAAAAGTACATTCTCGGAACCTTGAGCTCCATTGCTACTGATTTGAATACATTTTCACTTACAGTAGATTAACTAAGTCATGGAATTTGAAGATCTTACATTGAGGGGGCAGTTTCACAGAGATTTGAGATTGCTATTTGTCTTTATTAAATCGATTTGACGCACCAAAAAACAGTTTATTAAAAACAAGTTCAGTTCAAAACAGTGTATTGAAGGAGAAATGGGTAGAATTTGGCAAGCTCCAACGATACTTGACATCCAAGAGATTTCTTACGCGATTAAACGCTGCGGATCCAAACATCTTGTTCATTTATGTAGTAACATAAATGACCAGTTATATAAGCCAGGTAAGTTTTAACTATGTCTTTTCAGAGAACAAAGAATGATTTTGCGTTCACGAAAATCAGGCAAACGCAACTGCAAGAAATCACATTGTTTTGAGCAATAGAATGAAGTAATAAACTTAGACTTTACACTCTGCGTAATATGGTATAAAGTATATATCATAGTTCACAATAGAACTATTTTTAAACGCAACTATACTTGTGCTGTTTTATTCACTCTGATTTTTGCATGAACACGACTACTCTACGGTGAACATGTAAGTTTATTCACCAAACCTAATTTTTTACTTTTTCAGAATTTTCCGATTCTCTGAAAACATTTGGTATTTCTAAACAAGGTAATCGTAATAGGTAAACCATAAAATGCCTCCTTTTTAAGAACGTTCGTCTCTTTACTGATATTAGACGTTTAAGGACGCAGCGTGAATTTATTTTGCGCCACAGGCATTTTGGTGCCAAATTCATGCGATTTCATTAGAGAGGCGATTGACTGTTTAACATTGAAGGGTATAAGCCAGCGCCCTTACCGATTACCGAGCCTTTGTAAAGTTTAATTGCAGATGGCCTTCGTCCGCCGTATTGTAAAC